TTCAAGAGTATTCTGGATGTCTGAAAAGATCAACTTGATTATCCTATTGTGCTGTTGCACGTCATTTGAGCTTGCAGTCTGCTCATCCATTTCGTCCAGTCCTGTGCAATCCACATCTTTAATCCGATGGTTTCTGTTGCACGTCTTGGTTCATGAATCCGTTTGTTGCGCCATGGATCTAAGATTCCAAAAGCAAGCCAAAATAATGACTTTTAAAGAAGTAATGTGCAGCTGCCGTGATGGGGCGGCTAGACGCTTGTCTGTGGATCAGAAAGTCGGGCGCCATCTGTTGGTTTGATCTCAAATGACTTCAGCTCTAAAGAATGATATAAATTACACTCTTGGTAAAACAGTTCAAGTGAAAAAAAGATACATTTTTCACGCCTTAAGCGCATCGGGCATAAGGTAAGAGCACCCATAATTTTAAGGACCAATTGGCACTAGGTGGGTAATGTGATCAGCATTACGCCGGCTCTCTTTACTTTCCCTGTACAGTCATCCTGGTACCATTTTAGGCTGGGTCGACCTGCAACGTCCCATTAAATGTTAGTTGCGTATCCTTTACAGGACGTTGCAGGACCAACCCCAACAGTGTGGGTTTTTTTAGGCAAATTTACGTCCAGTAGTTTGTCATTGCTTCTGGGCGGTCGGCTTTCTTAATACCACTGTCGAAACCAACGCAAGGCGCATGGCCCGCAGTTGTGATCGCACCCGGCATCCCGGCATTACGAAGCGTTCGCATTGACCTAGCCACAGAGCCGACGCGACGCCCACAGGTTAGTTGCGTATCCTTTACAGGACGTTGCAGAACTAACCACAGCAGCCCCTGGCTGTTGTATGGTTTCTCTTGGCAAATGTACGTCCAGTAGTTTGCCATTGCTTTCTGGACGGTCAGCTTCCTGATACCACTGTCGAAGCAACGCAAGGCGCATGGCCTGCAGCTGGGATCGAACCCGGCACCCCGGCATTACAAAGCGTTCACATCGACTTAGCCACAGAGCCCACCGACGTCCCACACACTGAAAAAAATCCACGCAGCCAGCGGTGGGTTTCGATCGCGGTACGTTGGAATTACAAGTCGGACTCGCAAAGCCTAAGCCACGGACGCCGCTAGTAAAACAGTTAGGCACACATAAACATGGTCTGAAGTAGTGTTAGTATAATATTTTCAATTAACACCTAGTATATATTTTTTTAAATTTAAAAACAAGTAAAGAACCTTTTCGGCAAAACTTGCGTATTGAGCATTATTTGCTTGACGTGTATGTTTATATGTTTGTCGTCCCCATTAGGGATGCATTTTTTCGTTTTTTGAAGCCCCACCCTGGCTTTTGCCGGGGGCCATGAACGGCGGAAAGATGTTTCTGGGACCTCTCCACGGGTGATCCTCATCTGCATGGTGGCAATCTGTGTCACCGGGTGTTTATCGCTTGTGTGATGGTACAACAAGAGAGAATGAGAGAGAAGGAGAGTTTATAGATCAGTCGGCACCCAATGAGTTTACAGTTATAACGGCTGCCTATACTTCGACATAGTTCATTTGGCGGCACTATTTTAGGCTGGGGTGACACGGGCATTGTCTTGGAAAGTGAAGGCGACCGGTGTGATGCTGACCACATTACCGACCAAATGTCGATTGGTCTATAAAAATATAGGTCTATCCCTATATTCGCAATACGCCTAAAGGTGTGCAAAATGGACCATAGGGACATGCGAATGACAGGCGAAAAAAGGCCTTGGTCAACAGCAAAATGTATCTAGATATAGAACCGAATCAAAGACCTTCTGGCTGATGGGCAAGAGTTTAACCACTGCTCTACCAGGGTTCTGTGTACATTGATAATAGACTTTTTCTCCATCAAAACTGCTTTTGAAACTTGTTGTGTGAGTTACAGCCAGGTCGCGATACATGTGAATTTCGACCCAACAAAAGATTTCAGCAAATTCCTGCTTAATCGCCTCTTACGACATACTTCTTAGTAGAGTGGGTCTATTCCGTTTCGCCCAGAATAGGGCTCTTGAACCCACACAGAGAGTATAAGATACACAATTCATGAAGCATTACTTACACTCATTAGAGCTAACGCTTGCCAGGAAAGCAACAGTGAACAGAGCAATGACCGCCTTCATTCTGATGTCGTCTCAGACTATCGCTTATTCAGATGGATAAGCAGTGAAAAACCAATCTCCCTTTTATAGTCACAAAGAGGACAGAATTTGACCTATCCCGTCTTACAGTAGCAGTAGTTTCGTGTAAGAGATACACAGCGAACAACAAAAGGATGAGCAGCAAGTGGAACTATTCGAAAATATATTAATAAGCATAGGATAATGTCGATAGTATTTAGAACTATAGTAACAAAAAACAGTTTTGAATCATTCTCACAATCACGCACGCACGCACACACACACACACACACACTCTCTCTCCCTCTCTCTGTCTCTCTCCCCCTCTCTCTCCCTCCCTCTCTCTCTCTCTCTCTCTCTCTCTCTCTCTCTCTCTCTCTCTCTCTCTCACGAAAAGATTTTAAACTAAAACCCCTAAAAGGGCGATAGGAATTACAGTAACCCTGCTCTTGTCTTGTAACCGACTCCACTAGGCATCGTCACTGGAGAACCGAAAGACGCAGTGTGAAATCAAACTCAAGACTTTCAAAGAGTGAAGCAAAACGATTAACCACCTCAAAACGTGGCATCCATTGTTGTTTCCTAGGTTGTTAAACAGCGGTGCATCTTAAAGAGATTGTTGTGTCTCTGTTAGAGCATCTAATTGTTCGTATCTCCTTTTGTACAGGAGAATTGTTGCCAGAAACGTCTCTGTGACGATAGCAGGTAATCTGTTGATTGATGTCACTCACACTGCGAGCCATGTCTAAACTTTTACGAACAATGGGTCTGACTCGCAGACGTACCGTTGATTTATAACCCCGATAAGCATACTAGTATTTCAGGCATTCGTGCCAACCCATTATCATACAGTTCAGCACAACGGGTTGTCTGAGTTCAAGAAGACAAGTCATCCTGTTCTGTTGTAAATAAGCGTGAGTTTCATGTTGTTTACCGATTGTTTTAATGTAAACAGCTGTGGCCGATTGTTTTATTGTAAACAGCTGTGGCCGATTGTTTTAATGCAAACAGCTGTATGTAGACAACAGACACCAAGATAGAGTTTATATATATAGACTGTAAGGCAGAGATAAACAGGCATAAAGATAAATTAATAAAAGCAAAACATGGATGTGATTTTATATGCATCTGGGGTTCTTCTCATATATTTATTTTGATTATTGGCACTTTTACGTCCTTCTAGACGAAAATGCTATAGTGATGCATGGGACTCACTGCCCGTGGCGATGGCGAGTGTGACTAGTGTCTGCTCACGTTAGGAAAATGTGTCTACAGTTACAGCATGGGATGTTAGGACCCTTGTCGACATCCTATTTATTTAGTATAAATAAAAACACACTGTTTGCCTGCTTTCTCAGTTTATGTCGTATCCAACACTTGTATCTTATTCCTCAATCCGTGATTTCTGAAATCAAGTTTACAATTTCCGTGTGTGTGTTCCGGACAGCTATTATAGTAACAACAAGAATAGACCCACTGCCTCCCCAAAAGCATGTCGTAAAAGTCGACGAATTGGGAGCTTCCTTTGAAATTGGAGTTCATCGGCGTGACTTTCAAGGAACAAATAGACTGCATACAAAAACGTCAGATCTGTAAAATAAATGTGCACGCAACATTCTGTTTCTGGAATATGACAACAGTCCAGAAGTGGACGAACAACTTGAACTTTCTGCCAGAGTTTATAGCTGGTGAACGCTTAGAATAAGAATAATCTTAAAATCAACTTATTGTCAACTCCCAACTGTGACAGACACGTGACCTTTACAACAAATATCAACCTATTCAGCTTTTCAAACTGTTTCCAATCCACCCTGGTTTGATTTATCTGTATAAATAAAAGTAATATCAGTACATATTAATGTATTCTGTCGGGGGGAGGGGGATAAAACCTTACCTGCAAAGTGTGTGGCATATGCACGAGTCATACGGCCCTAATTCCCCAGGCTCAGAGACCCAATCGTTCTACACCGCTGTCAAAAGTGGTAAATGTTGGCGTACAATTTCAGTGAAGAAACTCGAGGCGTCCAACATCCCCTTTTCCTACGCCACTGGTAGTAATTACAGATTTATACGCACTACCCCCCCCCCCCCTTACCATTTCCCATATATTCCGTTTTCTTCTTCTGAGCATAAGCCCGTGACTTGCTCACATCAATTTGACCTATCTTTTGCTATCGCCTGAAGCTCACCGCATGACCTCAGCAAATTTTTCACTTAATTTTTTTATTAGTTATCTTTGTGTTTTTAGGCATACATTTATTCCATTGACCCTGTGGGTTCCAGTGCCAGGCTATTCTAATTACATTGTAGTAAGGTCTCCTCGGCGTTTTTCCTATCCAACGCCAGCGTCATTTCCTCATTGCGGGATTCACTGAAATGGTTTGGTCTCTCCAAATGCTCTAAATCCTAATATCATTCAGTTCTATCAGTTATGCCAGGCACTATTTAATGACTGGTTGTAGTTTAGTGGTAATTGTTTGAGTTCTTCTCCGTTTAACTTGCTGTCATTGACTGCAACAACAAAATTGTAAGGACAGGCAGATAGACAGATCGGGAACTAACAGATAAACATGCATAATGACAAACTTATATTTTAACACACTGGACAGACAGATAGGGAAGGAGTATATACATTACATAATGGCGTTAATAGTGGAGAGAAATAATTTGATGCAAGAATTTAAAAAAAAAAAAGTGACTTAAATACAAAATAATCAATTTAAAAAGTTAATTTCAGTGCAGCTTTATTGAAAATTAATTGTATCGCCTTAAACAATTGCAATATAACATAACTGAATCTACATATAAGCGTCTATTGTAATCTGCCAGTGATATAATCAGAAACATCAATATATCTGTTCCGATGCCGTCAGTTACGCTACTGTACACTTCTCCGTGACTTCAGTCTCACCAACGAACCACCTGGCTTTGCAACCTGCACAGTAATCATCGCTGGAAACAAAATAAACATAGTCGATCTGGTTAGCATTAAAATGAATATATACAAAGAACCGTCTACAGCTGAGACAATGTTTTCATTACGTCAGTTGCAGGAAAAATTAGCCTGAACAAAACAAACAATGAAACAAACTACAAAAGAAAAGAACAATAAAAACAATTCTATATTTTTGCTTTTATTGTCCTTACCAAAACATGTCTTATTTTTCGCTTTAACCGGTTGTAAACTCCGGAGGAAAGTTCTAGCTATTCGTTAACCTCCGAACCGTATCTTTGTTCCAGAACCTGTATGTTGCGTGCACATCCGTTTTATACATCCGACTTATTTGTGTGCAATTGTGGGTTCCTTGCCTCTCAGACATATGCAATTCGAATTCGAGGGAAGCCCCCAGTTGGTCGACTTTTACGACCTGCTTCTTGGAGAGGCGGTGGGTCTATTTTTGTTTTCCCCACAATTTGGCCCCGGAACACACACTGGGATACGTCCATTGATTTGCTTAGTCGTAAAGATCCGTTAAACACGCTCAAGAATATTGGATGTCCCACCTACCCAACTGGGAATTACTGAGTTGTTGTGCAAAGGTGTAACATAATTAGTAATCAACAATCTAGTGAAGCAGGGGTTTGTACTTGCTCCTACCGTCACTTGAATATATTTCTCATTTATTTTGAAGTATGCTTTTCGAGACAAGGAGGGCGGTATATTCACCCCTTCTTGGTCTAACGGCAGCATCAACAATGCTCGTAGGCTGAAAGTCAAAACCATGATAATGAAGGTACTTGACTGAGAACTGCTGTTTGCAGATAATCCAGCAAAAGAGGAGCTGCAATGTTTACTATCTGCATTTGCTTATGCACACTGTGAATTTGGACTAGCGATCAGCAAAAAGAAGATTCTGATTATGGCTCAGGGTGTTAATGATAGATCTGCAATCTGCACTGATTGTGAAGAGCTGTAGACAGTTGACAGTATTTATCTATCTGGGATTTACAGTGAAAAGCAAAGTATCGCTGGACCAAGAAATCAACATCAGGATAGGTAATGCAACAACAATGAGCAGATCTGCAACAAGAGTTTGAGAGAACAGAAAGCTCATGATCAAAGTAAAAACTCTTGTCTACCGGGCAACGGTTTTCGCAATGTTCAGTCTACGAAGAAACAGGTGGCTGGGTCACACCTAGAGAATTGAGGACAGTAGAGCATCAAAGAACATCCCCAGTGGTGAATTACAGATGGGTAGCAGATGTCAAGGCCAACCTCTACTACGATATAAAGTGTATGCAAGTAGGGTATTAGTGATAAAGGTACTGAGATGGATTTGTGGGGGTAAATGCCATGGTTTGTGTTGCATGAAGTAGGTAAATCAAAATAGATAAGAACTGAGAGTCGTGAGGAAAAAAAACACTAAATTGTACAAATGATGTCAAAAACGGTGCTGAAATCCCGTACTATAATGTGGACAGCTCTTTGTAACATGAGCGGGTTTGGCTAGTCACACTCATGACACTCCTCATGGCAATGGCTGGTGAGTCCCATACCTCCTCAGAGCACAATATTACATTATCCTCAAGAAAGACAGAGGTTGCCAACAACGAAAATAAATATATTAAGAGAGCCCAAGGAAGAGACCAGACAGTAAATAAAATGAGAATCGCCTGAGAAATTGAGCAAATTATCAAGCGTTTACCGAGGTGCAGACAGCTATATAAATATGTTCAATCAAACAAATATTGTCTAAGTGTACAAAGAAACCAGGCTTGTTGTTGTTGTTGTTGTTGTTGTTCTTCTTCTTCTTCTTCTTCTTCTTCTTCTTCTTCTTCTTCTTCTTCTTCTTCTTCTTCTTCTTCTTCTTCTTCTTCTTCTTCTCCTCCTCCTCCTCCTCATTTTTCTTCTTCTTCCTTTCTTCCTCTTTTCCTCCTAATCCCTCCTCTTGCATGTCTTCTTCTTCTTCTTCTTCTTTCTTTGTCTTCTTCTTTTTCTTCTTCTTCTTCTTCTTCTTCTTCTTCTTCTTCTTCTTCTTCTTCTTCTTCTTTCTTCTTCTTCTTCTTCTTCTTCTTCTTCTTCTTCTTCTTCTTCTTCTTCTTCTTCTTCTTCTTCTTCTTCTTCTTCTTCTTCTTCTTCTTCTTCTTCTTCTTCTTCTTCTTCTTCTTCTTCTTCTTCTTCTCCTTCTCCTTTTTCTTCTTCTCTTCCTTTTTCTTCTGTTTCTTCTTCTTCTGCTTCTTCTTTCCTGTCTTCTCATTATTATTGTTATTATTATTATTATTATACACCAACTACTACTTCTTCTTCTTCCCACATTTCTGTGTTTGTATGTCTATCTAACTTTAAACCTGTTTATTTTTGCCTCTTTGTCTGTCTGTCTGTCTGTCTGTCTGTCTGTCTGTCTGTCTGTCTGTCTGTCTGTCTGTCTGTCTGTCTGTCTGTCTGTCTGTCTGTCTGTCTGTCTGTCTGTCTGTCTGTCTGTCTGTCTGTCTGTCTGTCTGTCTGTCTGTCTGTCTGTCTGTCTGTCTGTCTGTCTGTCTGTCTGTCTGTCTGTCTGTCTGTCTGTCGTCCGTCAACACATTCGCAAATTTGTATGACCTTTTCGGTCAATTCGTCCAACCATCTATCCCTCCGGTCTCTAATTTGGCTGTTATCAACACATAACCCACGGTACTTACATGCACTTTGCTTCATGAACACCATCACAATTGCTAACTTGACACGGTTCAACAAAACAGTCGACCGCTGCGCCATCATCGCACAAAGTTCCTGACCATGGATAGAGGAAACAGCAAAAAAACAACTGAATTAGACCATTGAAAATATGAATCTGTGTATTTAATCAATAAATGATTATGCATGCTAGAAAAACGTGACAAAACGTAGCGCTTTTTTTTTTTTTTTTCATTGAACCAGCTTACCAAAAGTATATGCTCTGTATTATAACGCGACATATTGGGTATACTTATTGAATATGTTAAAAAAGCTTTACACTTTCTATAAAACACCCCCCCCCCCCCGCCCCCCGACCCCCCACCACCTTTAAAAAGGCAATCAAACACGAGTTTCTGGACATTCTTAATGAATTATTTCTGTTGACAGAAACAATAAAGAGACGTGTAAAGTATTTCGGTTTTGGGCTAAGGAAACAGGTGACCAGAGGAGTCAGCGGATAACATAATGAGATTTTGACTCAATTCTTCTACAGTGTCAACTTGAACAATAGACTGATAATGGTGGGGATCAGTTTGAGCCAAATGATACAGTACTAACTTGAACAGGTAGCGATGGAGCCAGGTTTTACAGTTTTAACTTGAATAATAGACTGGCAGTGAAGGAGATCAGTCGGGTGCACATGATACAGTGTCAACTTGAACAATAGACTAGTAGTGATGGAGATCAGCTGGAGACAAATGATACAGTGTCAACCTGAACAATAGACCGGTAGTGATGGAGATCAGCTGGAGACAAATGATACAGTGTCAACCTGAACAATAGACAGGTAGTGATGAAGATCAGCTAGAGACGATACATTGTCAACTTGAACAATAGACATGTAGTAATGGAGATCAGCTGGAGACAAATGATACATTGTCAACTTGAACAATACACCGGTAGTGATGGAGATCAGCTGGCGACAAATGATACATTGTCAACTTGAACAATAGACAGGTAGTGATGGAGATCAGCTGGAGACAACTGATACAGTGTCAACTTGAGCAATACACCGGTAGTGATGGAGATCAGCTGGCGACAAATGATACAGTGCCAGCTTGAACAATAGACCGGTAGTGATGGAGATCAGCTGGAGACAAATGATACAGTGTCAACTTGAACAATAGACAGGTAGTGATGAAGATCAGCTAGAGACGATACATTGTCAACTTGAACAATAGACATGTAGTAATGGAGATCAGCTGGAGACAAATGATACATTGTCAATTTGAACAATACACCAGTAGTGATGGAGATCAGCTGGCGACAAATGATACATTGTCAACTTGAACAATAGACAGGTAGTGATGGAGATCAGCTGGAGACAAATGATACAGTGTCAACTTGAGCAATACACCGGTAGTGATGGAGGTCAGCTGGAGACAAATGATACATTGTCAACTTGAACAATACACCTGTAGTGATAGAGATCAGCTGGAGACAAATGATACATTGTCAACTTGAACAATAGACAGATAGTGATGGAGATCAGTTGGAGCCAGTCTTTGTTTTGAGGAAGGCGCCAGTTTAAATAAGCCTTTTCATTCAAGCGATGTTAGAGCTCACACAAGTAGAGCCAAGAATAGTAACGATGAATCCTATCATTACAACACAGTAAAAATTTACCTTGGGGAGAACTAATCATACACCATCATCCTATATTTACTGGGTGTAATACTTGTATATCGAAAATATTTAAACGTCATTAGTAAACTACACATCAAGTTAGTAGGTTATTTGTGCTGCAAAAAAAAGGGGGGGGGGAGTGGGGATGAATGTGAGGGAACTGAACTCACCGTAACACTGGGAGATTCCTGCCAGTAACACAATAGCCAGAAGTGGTAATACAGCCTTCATTTTGTGATGGATTGCAGTTAAACGCAGACCTACAATAAAAAAATTATTTACTGTGAGTACTTTTTTAAACTGATTTTGATTTCAGTAATCTTCTTCTTCTTTTTACTTCTTTTTCTTCTTTTTCTTATTTTTACTTCTTTTTCTTCCTCTTTTTTTCTTCTTTTTTCTTCTTTCTTCTTCTTCTTCTTCTTCTTCTTTTTCTTCTTCTCCTTCTTCTTCTTCTTCTTCTTCTTCTTCTTCTTCTTCTTCTTCTTCTTCTTCTTCTTCTTCTTCTTCTTCTTCTTCTTCTTCTTCTTTTCTTCTTCTTTTTTCTTTTTTTATTCTTCTTCTTCTTTCTTCTTCTTCCTCTTCTTCTTTTTCTTTTTTCTTCTTCTTCTTCTTTTTCTTCTTTTTCTTCTTTTTCTTCTTCTTTTTCTTTCTTCTGCTTCTTCTTCTCTTCTTCTTTTTCTTCTTCTTCTTCTTTTTCTTTTTCTGCTTCTTCTTCTTCTTTGCTCACCAGCTGTAAGCTCGGGTGGAAATTCCTGGTTGTTCGTCCATTTGGACTTTGGCTTCGTGTCAGGGTCTGAGTTTTTTTGTTTTTTTTTTGTTTTTTTTTTTGGTGCATCTGTTTTACTGACTTATTTTTGTGCAGTTGGTTGTTTCATGCCTCTCTGGCAGCTGCACTCCGATTTTAAACGAAGTCCTCAGTTAGTCGACTCCTACGACATGCTGGTTTCAGTGGGTCTGTTCTTGTTTCCTCTCCCCTCGCCCCTCATAAAGAGGCACTGGAACCCTCAAGGGCAGATCTCAGCAATCAGTAATAAATATATTTTTGAGTGATTGGTTCGTTCATTGGTTAGATTTCGCGACCACTGGATCCGCAGATGAGCGTCCAACCGCTACATCACGGCGGCTGCCAATTATGAGTAGAGCTAGCCTAATCGTTTTTTAAGACTAATTCAATGGTTTATGTAGTCAACATTACCCCTGCCGCTTTTCTTCCCAAGACATATCCTGGTCTCTTTTCAATTTGACTAGACCTTCAATAAAGTGTCAAATTTTAAATGGCTATCACCGTGATGCTGGATGGGCTGACACGATGGTATGGAGGGATATCATCAAGAGAGCTGTCCCAGGCAACCACGGATCATGATCTTTGGAGACGCATGGGCGCCTACGCCAGTTGGCAGGGCACATCATGATGATAATGATGATGATGATGGTGATGATCACGGTAGTTAACGCATTTTCATTTCTAATGTTATCTTAATTTTGAAATATGCAATGAAATGTGCAGAAACATTAAATACTTGGAGTTAGAGTTAGATGCATTTGAAAAGAAATGCCCGAGAGACAATATTGAACATGAACTGGGATGATTTTTTTTCAAGATGGGTTAAGAAATAAGAGATCTGTCCGGGCAACCACTGGTCACAAGCTGTAAGACAAAGACGATGGTGCTATGTTGGACGCATTCTGAGAAGAAACGTGTATAGAATCACCGGACAGGCACTTAAATGGGGAAAAAAGGGATTGAGGAAGCGAAGGTATCCAAAAGAAACCCTAAAAGGAACGTTGATGAGAGAGGCCTACTGTGCTGTTTGTTTGTTTTATTATCTAGAAGCCATGAGTTGTTAACCTCTAGGCTCGGTATTATGGATATCGCAACCTTTCGGCCTTGATTCCATTGTAAATACCGAAAATCTGGAGAGAAAAAAATGTGGCTTTTCTGCCTACCCCCGGGAGTAAACCTGGACTACAAGGAGTTCGTCACCCGGGCACCGCGCAATCCGGTTTAGCCAACTCTTCGCTAGAGAGCCGGGCACCTAAGGTGCTGGACTAGATTCCATCCATGGGATCGAAGGAATTGCACAGTTCAACATGGAATAGAGGGAGACACTACGAACCATATATGACATATTATAGCACAACAGGACAATGCTGACGACTGTGATGACCGCTGTTGATTTAAATCCTTGAGCACCGAGGCGGCAGGCAAACGTACTACCCACTACGCCACTGCGATTTATCATATAGCAGGTCATCTGCAGAACGTCGCTCTCATCACCGTCTGCCTTAATGAAACTTGGTCTCTCGCCAGCTCTCCCACCGCGCCTACTTTCATTTTCAAGCAGTCACTTAAATCTTGTGCCCATAGTCTTGTTGGTGTGCCCCTGTACCTCTTTTCTGGTGCCATTCCTTCTGCTATCATTTTTTTTCAATCCGCCATGGCGCTTACATGACCAATATATTTCAGCTTCCCAGACAAGATGTTGTTAAATAGCCAATCTTCCTTGATGTTAAGATGTTTTATTATGTCAGTATTTCTTCTCTTCCTTGTGTCAACTTGAACAATAGACCAGTAGTTTCTGCACTTTTTGTAGAAACTCTGTATTGCACTGTTCAGGGGTGCTGGGATGTTTTTCCCTGCCAAGCAGTCCCAGAGCTTGTTCCAGGGTACCTTGTCAATTGCCTTTTCCAGATCCAAAAAACATAAGTGCATCTCACTCTTATATTCAAGGGCTTTTTCACTCATCTGTCTCAGTGTGAAGATAAGGTCTTGAGTACTTCGGTTTGTTCTGAAGCCGCATCGGGCCTCTTTCAGCTGTGGCTCTACCAGACTTCTAAGTCTCTGCTCGAGAATTCTAGAGTAACTTTTACCAGGAACGCTCAGGAGGGATACGCCTCTGTGGTTTTCACATTTTCTGTTATCACCTTTTTTAAATATAGGTATAATGATAGCAATCTCCCAATCTTTTTGTATAGTTTTGCTACACCAGGCTGCCTGCATAACCTTCAGTAGAAGGCGCTCACCTGCGACTCCCAAAAATTTGACCATCTCTGGTGTCATACCATCATGACCTGCTGCTTTTCCCAGCTTAATCTTCTCAATAGCTGCCTTCAATTCTACCATCCTGATGTTATCATCCTCATGGATGATTTCCTTCTAAGCAGTGAGATCCATTATTTCTGGGTCATGACTTCCCTCAACGCCGAGGAGCTCTGACAAGTATTCTTTCCATCTGCCCATGATATCATTTGTAGAAGTAAGCAGAGCACCTTCCTTATCTTTTATGAATTTCAGTGGACACTCTTTCTCCTTCCTCATGTTCTTGAGGGTCTTGTAGAACAGTTTTTGGTTCTCTCTTGCATTCTTTTCCAACTTTTCTCCAAACTCTTCCCATGATTTCTGTTTTGCTTTAAGCACAATATTTTTGGTCTCTGTTATGAGTGCCACATATTGTTTATACCTTACTGAATAAACCACACTGAAAATTGAAAACACGAAAACCATTACCTTTCGTGTGAAATCGAAGACTGCGACGTGCGATAGCTTGTGTGGGGTCTCAGCACTGGCACCTTTGTGGTTCTTATACCTGTGATAAGGCTATCTCTTGTCCACGTTCAAAAAGGCAAGATCTGCTTCTGTCGGTAATTAACTGTAACACCGATGGCTAACAGTGACATGGTTTCCACGGTAATAGTCGATTCGTTATCTGGGGCATGTCACATAATGTCTACATTTACTTCTGATAATTGTTAAATGTCGGCATCTGTGGCTTAGGCGTTGCGAACACGCTTACTAATTCCGCGAGTCCCGGTTCAATCCCAGCTGCGGGCGATTTGATAGTATGCCGCATTGCGTTGGTTTCGACAGTGGTATTGATAACTCACCGTTTAGTAGACAAGGGCAAATTACTGAAAGTAAAATTGCTAAATGAAATTACAGTCAGACACAATATTTTGGCACTGCGACCTACTGTAAAGGATGCTTATCAAAAGTCGTACCCTCACACTTCAACATATATCTCGAAACCTCATGTACGGATTTCCACGAATGTTTGCAAGTGGGCTTAGATGTCCTTATGACTGTATAATGTACAACTGCATAGGTGCTGCTATTTTGTCTGACTAATAATTTGTTTTAACTTTTACTGTCATTACTTTCTGTTTTACCACTTTTTTAAGCAAGTGTAGACAGTGTATTTTGAGGCGCATGGCTAGTGGTATTTCTTGAAGGAAAAAAATATGCAGTTAACTTGCACAAATCGTTTACTGTTGTACCGCAAGCATGGGAATTGTTTTGGAAATCAGTTCGCATCTGCAGTGATGGTTGGTAATTATTTTATTAGCCTGTCCTAAATACAATGAACAAATTTGTTCATGTAACTCACGGGAGGCTAATGTAAAAGATGACCAACTAAGAGTAAAACGCATATGAACTAGAATGCCGTGTAGTGACCCCTTAAAACCTAGTTCATATGCGTTTTACTCTTATGTAAATTTACAAAATAGAAAGTAAATTTTTATTTAGTATTGGTAGTAGTAGATTTTACCCCACTAGGACATCACACAAGCGATAAACGCCAGATGACACGAAGTGCCACTATGTGGATGAGGATCACTCGTGGAAAAGTCCCAGAAACCGCCTTCAGCCATTAGACCATATTCATGGGCAGGCTGTATTGCGGTCCCTGGCAAGAGCTAGGGTGGGGCTTCAAAATAACAAAAAATTGCATCTCACAAGGAGATGACTGGTTATAACAATTTTTTAAATTTTTTTATATACATTAAAATTCTACTCATGTAAGGACATGATTATTAAAATGTTGCATTCCAAATGTCAACCACTTTACACAGAACGGTAACTAAGTTACTATCTTTTTCGCAAGGTTGTGTGTGGCACGTAGGTGTATGTATGTGTGTGTGTGTGTGTGTGTGTGTGTGTGTGTGTAAGTTCATTTTGACACATGTAGTTCAATGTTGCATTGCTGTGGAATTACTTCCCCTGTGGGTTCTGTGGCCATATTCTGGGGACACACAAAAAACAAAGCAGATAGCCATGCAGCTCCCTCGCCCTTCACCCCCACCCAAACCCAACCCCAATCACCAACAAGCATCTACTAGTACCGTATGACTAATTAGAGTTTATTGAAATCAGCTGTGTTGCCTAAAAAGTGCAGAAATTGCAGCCGAGCTGTAAACCACAATACAACGAGTCAACCTTCCTGTTTATATGCAGACGAATAAAAGACAGGTGTAGCATTTT